ACGAAGGCAAAGCGAGGGNGAAAAGGCAACTAACGCCCCCGTCGAGGGACGACGGACGCTCGCGGCGTTGCGTGCGCCGCCGATGCAAAAAAGAGGAATGCGACTCACGGCGGCGCACATTCTGCGCCGGCGCAGCAGCACAAACAAACGGTGCCCGGACGCCGAGGCTTTTCAAGGGCGGAAGGAACACGTCATTTTTGTTTTCATGAGGGGAGAAATGTGAACACAACTTTTTTTTTGGGCGATCGCGCCGTGGGTCTTCTGCGCAGCAAAAGAAAAAAAAGGCGTTTTGTTGTTATTTGTTTGTTTTCTTCTGTGCGCGTGCGCACCGTCCATCGGAAACTACTTTTTTTTGTTCTTCATTTGTTTTTAGCGTATTTCCCGTGAGTTGCCGCACCGTGTGTGGGCTGCGGTGGCCCTTTCCCTCCTTCCCTCCTTCCCTTCTTCCCTCCTTCTCTCCTTCCCTCTCTTGCTGAATGCGGCTGCGTGGGGGCCGTGTGTGTCTGTGGCTATTTTTTTTCTCCTTTTCGCATTCCCCTTTTGGCTGGTGGTTGCTGTTCGGCTGCGGCCCAGGCCAACAGCAACTAACGAAGTGAAGCGCAAAGAAAATAATGTCTGGAAGAAGCGAGGAAGAAGCTCACGCTGCTGCGGCGAGCCCCGCGAATGCAGTACCGCAGGGGCAGCGTCGGTCGAGGTCGGGACCCGACGGCGGCGGTTCCGATCAACAGCCCGCAGCACATCGCCGAAGGGTGGGAGAAGCACAGCAGAGGCCAACGTGGACCCTCACCAGTACGGTGGAGGAAGTGCTGCTGTTTGGGAGAGAAGGGCCAATTCCTGACATTAAATTGAACGATTTCCTCCGCAGAGAATTGGGCGGCAGGGGAGTCGTGGAGGCCAATGATAATGTCTCTCTTGAGAGTTTTGTTGCGCAACCCGAGGCATTTATCGCAAACGAGGATGATCTGCGGCTAACACTGGCGTCGCCGTTCTACACGGCCATAAAGGAGGCAATTGAGGATGCACGCAGGCTTGTGGAGCACGAGGTGGACACTCTTCAGCGCTGGAGGGAATTTGCGCAGAAGAATATTGTTTCTCCTGTTGGACGGGCAAAGCTCGATGCAGCCCTTGCAGTGGCGGTGGAGGAGGAAGCGAGGCAGAGGCGGGAAGAGTTGGAGAAACTGCCTTGGGAAGAGAGGATGTACCGGTCGGTGTACGAGGCGAGGTGGAGCTACGTGGAGTCGGGCCACGCTACGGAGCCGCTGGGGATGAGGGTGGTGGAGGCCAACTCCAGCGAGCCGGAGAAAATGTGGAGTGCGGGTGAGGTGAATGTCATACCTCATCCAGGTGATATCGACGCGATCGCGAAGATTGAGGAGGAAGAGGATGAGGGAGAGGCCAGTGATGTGCGGCTGGAGTTTCTGGTGCTCACCTCTGAGAAAGGGTGGCCGTACAAAAAGTTTGCAGTGGCTTTCAAGGAAGTATTTGTGCGCAAGGAGGTGGTGCGTGTGTGGAACGTCCTCAAGGAAGATATCGACGGCTGGCCCACCGCTGCTGGCAGCATTTTCTTGAGGCGGGCGTACGTTGTGGTTGGAACGCCCGGCATTGGCAAGTCGCTGGCGGTGGGGCCCTTCGTGCTGTATCAGCTCCTGCACTACGACGCCGGGAAGGTCCCTTTGGTGGCCTACTTTGTGGACGGGTCAATGTACCTTTTTCACAAAACAGGAGAACAGGCAGGGACCGTGGTGAAATACACAAACACTGATCAGGGTGCGTTGGTCGTCCGGGCGTTGGCTGAAAAGCAAATTGCGGGTTACTACATTTTTGACGTGACTAAGGGACTTTGTCCTTCAGAGGAGCTGCCCAATGAACATTGGGGTGGAATTGTGTTGACGTCGCCTGATAAAAGCAACTATGAGGAGTGGAAGAAGCAGCGGGGTGCACTTTGCATTTATGTCAACTGCTACACTCCACGAGAGCTGAAGGCGTTCTACGCGTGGCAGAAGCGCAACTCGCGCATAGGCGAGGAACGAAGAAACACGATGGTTGATGATTGGAAGACGATGAAGCAACGCATTGATATGGTTGGACCTCTCCCTCGCTATGTCTTCGATGAGGGGGCCTTTAAGGCACGGTGGGAGGCAATTGAGGCTGTGCTGTCCGGTAGGTCCGACGCAGCCTGGAAGCGCTTCGCGAAACTTTTGTTCGGCAAGGCTGAGTGGCGCCAGGACGGAACAACGCACAAACTGATCAAGCTTGTGCGTGTGTTGGTGGTGGAGAGGGACGAAAATGCAGAGTGGGGCGATGAAAGTGAGTCCGAAGAGGAAGAAGAGTCAGAAGCGGAAGAGGAGTCAGGGGAGGAGGAAGAGGAAGAGGACGAGGAAGAGGATGTGGTGGTGGAAAGCTCCAGCAATTATCCCGTTTCACGCGAGGTCGAAAAAACTTTGCGGCGAATGGTGATAACTGAGAACTTGCAGATGTCAGCTTTGCTGTCCGCCCTGGGAACGTGCTGTTTTGGTGCCGCTGCCGATCTCGAGCGCTTGGGCTGCTTGACGTTTTTGATCGGCGGCGTCGTCGAGGCAGTTGCCCGCAAGATGAAGTACATTCCCCGCACTGCGGGGGGAGAACCGCGGGGCAGCGTGCTGGCGGACGGACACGCACGAGGTCGCTTTCCAAGCAGGCCCCGCTTGTTCGAGTACAAGATGGAAGGGGCTCGGAACACTGTAATACAGAAGGTTGACCTTGAAACCGGTGTTCTGTATATCCCTGACACACGCCCTTTCCCCGTGCTGGACGCGTTTTACGTGGCCGAGGTGCAGCCAAGGGCGCCTCCAGCGGACCCTGAGCAGGCCAGTGCAACTCGCACCGGTGACCAGAGCAGCGCCGAGAGGGTAATTACGTTTATCGGGCTGCAGGTGACAAAGCGAGCTACCCACGACACCACCGCCAGTAAGATGGCTTCATTTATGGAATACATGAGGAGCAACTTCAATAACTGGGAGGTGCTGAGTGAAGCGATGGAGTGGGAGTTCATTTACCTCCGGCACTCTGCGTGCACGCCGATGAAGAGAAGGCAGCAGTGTATTATCTTGGAGGAGGAAAAGCGGAGTCGAAGTTTGAAGAGTGCCAGCGATTTCTGGGAGAGAAAGGTGGAGCAGTACCAGGTGCAACTTGACGCGGAGATTGCCCAGCTGCTGGTTGCTGCAAATAAACGCCGCCTCGTGTAGGCGGCGGGGCTGTGGGGCGTGCGGTTAGCCGGCCGCCGTGACTGTGCGCCGAGTTGCGGGGTCGTGGGCTCCTCGTGTTTCAAGCCCTCCGTTCAGTGCGTTTCTGCCCTTGTTGGGCGGATGCAAGGGGGGCGGCATGGCTGTGGGTGAGGGGAAAGACAAGTTATTTTTTTTGTTTGTGCGTCTGTGTATTTCTCCGTCATCATTGAACGGCGCACACTTGACATGACTGCGGTT